ACAATTGTAACAGTGTAAATATGCTTTCCATTGAGGAAAAAAAGAAGTCACGCTAACCACCGCACACACACTCCGCTCCGGGCCAGAGACACGATAGCAAGGAGCGGATCACATGCGCGAGTCAGCGCAGACCACAAAATGTATCGGAGCTATTTGATTACACAGAATGCTATATTTTATAGCAATATGGATGAGATTGTGACTGTCATACCCTGTCAAATGCGGCTTTACGGAGCTCAACGGCTCTAGCCCAAGCTGTGATATAAATGAACGCTATTGGCTATTTTAAAAAGGGGCGGGGCTGCTTGATATGTCCCGCCCTGTCTTCCTGTTTCAGTTAAAATGACGTCAACACATAGAGTAACGCTGCATGTTTCTAAGCATTTCAGGGGACCATTAAGGCATGGGTTTTGCTTCTGGAGCTCAAAATCATGCAGTCATTGTTGGAAAAGGTTCAAATATGCAAATGTTGCTGATAAACCAAATAATTTGTGGGACCTGAAGTATTTTTCTGAAGAACAGCAGGCAGTTTAACTGTTCAGGACAAACAAGGGACTCATGAACAATATCACTAAACAAAAAAAACACAGCTTTGGATCATTCAGGTAACACAGTATTAAGAATCAACTTTTGAATGGGGTAATTTTTATAAAGTCAACTATTATTTGCTCTTGTGGACTATATGTACACGTCTTTTATGTGAAATATCTTATTCAGGTTAGCAATAAATAAAAAATAACATGCATTTTGTATGATCCCTCTTATTTTGGTAAAATAATTAACATTTTGCAGATTCTGCAAAGTGTATGTAAAATTTTGACCACAATTGTAGTAGACTGTAAATAGAGAAGCAAATTTGCACTGTTGCCTTGTACAAATATTATAAAGAAATAAAATTATTTTTAAAACCGTAGAAGAAGCAATATTTTGTTTCATCTCTTTTGTTTGTCATTTTTTTCACATTATACAATTAGTTCCAACATGATTGGTGTCCAAAATTGCTGATATAAAGTCCAATGGAACTGAGAAGTTTAACTGTTCACATCCCTCTGTTTGTCTTTATATTTATATGGTTTATCTTCAATATATGAACTAGATAGATCAAAACCTTAAAGGCATAGTTCACTTAAAAACCAGCATTTTGTCATTATGACTTTTTTCTTCTGTGGGAAAAAAAAAAGTATATATATATAGATATGTTTTTTTTTTTTTACTTATTTCAAAAAGTGAAACTTTCATATATTCTAGATGAATTACATGTGAAGTAAAACATTTAAAAATGTAAAATAATTAACATTTTGCAGATTCTGCAAAGTGTATGTAAAATTTTGACCACAATTGTAGTAGACTGTAAATAGAGAAGCAAATTTGCACTGTTGCCTTGTACAAATATTATAAAGAAATAAAATTATTTTTAAAACCGTAGAAGAAGCAATATTTTGTTTCATCTCTTTTGTTTGTCATTTTTTTCACATTATACAATTAGTTCCAACATGATTGGTGTCCAAAATTGCTGATATAAAGTCCAATGGAACTGAGAAGTTTAACTGTTCACATCCCTCTGTTTGTCTTTATATTTATATGGTTTATCTTCAATATATGAACTAGATAGATCAAAACCTTAAAGGCATAGTTCACTTAAAAACCAGCATTTTGTCATTATGACTTTTTTCTTCTGTGGGAAAAAAAAAAGTATATATATATAGATATGTTTTTTTTTTTTTACTTATTTCAAAAAGTGAAACTTTCATATATTCTAGATGAATTACCAGCCTGTGGCACTTCTGAGCCTTCAGCTCGTCTGTATTGTTGGATGGACTGTTTCTCATCTTTCTCTTGAAAATATCCCATAGATTTCTATATGAGGTTCAGGTCAGGCATGTTGGCCGGCCAATCAAGCACAGTAATATCATGGTCAGCAAACCACTTGGAAGTGGTTTTGGCTCTGTGGGCAGCTGCTTAAGTCCTGCTGGAAAAGGAAATCAGCATCTCCATAAAGCTTGTCATCCGATGGAAGCAGAAAGTGCTCCAAAATCTCCTGGTAGATGGCTGCATTGACTTTGGACTTGATAAAACACAATGGACCAACATCTATCTTGCTCCTCATCAGATGCAAAAGATCTTTTATGACAAACTTGTTGTGACATTATAGTTCACCCAAAAATGAAAATTCTGTAGTCATTGACTCACGCTCGTGTCGTTCCAAACCTGTATAACCTTTTTCATCTTTGAAACGGATGTTAGTTCAGATTTATTTATTTTTTTTTACCTGAGAGATTTCTGTCCCTCCTTTGAAGGGCTGTGAAACCAAAACTTTGATGCTTTAAAAGTTCATAAAGTCATTGTAAACGTAATTAATATAAATCAAGCAATGAGTCTTCTAAAGAGACACAATCACTTTACATGATGAACAGATTTAATTTCGGCTTTACTTGACATTAAAACCAGTCAATGCACATACATAAACCAATTTAAATATATGCCAAACGGAAGCTCAACTGTACTTACTTGGTGCACATTTTAAACTTTAATTAATTTAATTATATTATGTATGCTCAGGTACATTGACAGTTTATTTACATAATCGTTAGTTAAAAGAATTACAATCCTATTATTCATACAAATTACATTTTTAATTTTTGTTTGCTCTTTTGGTTGTCGCAGCAAAGAGGAGTGTTTTAGATCATCAGTGAACAATCCTCTGAATCCTGTATGTTAAGATGTTGAGGTATTACAGTAATATCAGTTCAGTGAGTATAGCAACAAACTTCTGTTGTGTGAATGACCTCTGGATTACCTAAACATGCTTGACTTTGAGTATGGATTGCACCATCAGGAGCACTTGACATGTTTTCATGGATCCATGTTGTACTTCCAGGCCACTAAATGCATTGTTCAACAAGAGGTACTTCCTGCAGATCCCTTATGAGATATGTAAAGAGAGAAGAAGGTAGGGACAAGGCTCCTGTTAGATGAGTCTGGTTTGATGAACATCAATGTTTTGACTGAGCCTGTCACCTTTTTTCTTTCTCTAATCGATAGCTCACGAGTCTATGTGCCTCCGGATCCACCAGGCTACTTTGATGGTTATGTCTGGCCCATGTACTTGAAAAACAGAAAAGCGATGGAAGAAACTGTAAATGACATCGGTACTGTAATATTTTAACACTCAATAAGCACAGTGACTTAAATCACTTCTATTGTGTGAGTGAGGTCTTTGCACTTTATACAGTGTTTCTGGATGGCACACAGAAGAGCGAGATGTTGCTCTCAACTGTTCTTGCAGACATTCAGGAAATGCTTATGGTTACACAGAGATGAGTTGTCACGTGAGTAGTTCAGCAGTAATATTGCAGCACACTTAAATGATTTTGCCATTTACTCTCATTCATTTCTTTCTCTGTCTGAATTTAGTTACCAGATTTTGAGGACCAACATTTCCAGCTGCTTATTTTCCACAAGTATACTATGAAATGAATAAATCAAGTTCATCATAATATTCATTAATATCTATTTGATTACTTCCTCGTTAAAGTGCATTTGCCGCAAGCTATGTGACTCATACACCAATCAAACCGTGTGCATTAATACTCAAAATAAGTGAATTAACAGAGCAAAACGTGTTTATGAACAGTTTCACTTGATGAAACTGCATCACAGTAAATATTAACAATGACAGACAAATGTTTTGGTTTTTTTTAATGAATTTTTTGCACAAATGTATTCATCTGTTTTGGAGCAGAAAAATCCATGTGACTTAAACATGAATATCGATGTATATGTCATGTAAAATATTCAGACAATATGTAGACATATTTTAATGAATTTTTTGCACAAATGTATTCATCTGTTTTGGAGCAGAAAAATCCATGTGACTTAAACATGAATATCAATGTATATGTCATGTAAAATATTCAGACAATATGTAGACATATTTGTGAAGTGTTCAATGGATTAAATACTTTCGTTTATCCCGATAATGTTTGCTCTGAGCAGTATGTTAGAGACGTAATGGGATTGTTTTAAATGCACAGAATAAGCCAAAAAATCTTCATTTATTCTCTATTGACACTCACGAAAGATTAAAGCAGGTTGATAAACAAGATTTCAAAGGATAGTTCATTCAGAAATGAAAATTCTGTCTTCATGTCATCATAGATGCTAACTCCTCACCTTTAGGTGGCAACTCACTTTTTTTAGATCAAAATAGGTCACCTATGAGATTTGCTCAGATCCAATGAAAAAGTGTTTTTAGTGGGGAGGGCTTACAAGGGTACTTGTGATCTTACAAGGGTAAATAAAGAACGGGCCGGTTGCAGACTGGTCATAACTTTTTATATTCAGTTATGAAAAGGTAGACTGGTCTTCTTTGTATTGGAAAAGTAAGACTCATAACCACTTGGCAACTGCTAGTAAGTTTTGTATAGTATTTTCTTTACTCTTTAGTAAACCGTCTAAAAAGGGTAATATTTTATGTATTTGAGGTCTGAGATGTGGGACCAGTGAAGAGAGAGAGGGCAAACATTTAGCATTTTAGGTCAGCATTGCCGTCTAATCAGCCAATATTGTCTTAAATAGCCTGCGTAGCACTTCATCTTTTATAACATGGGATTTTGACCAAATATATTCAATCTTGAATTTTGTAAAATGTTGCAACAAGATGTTATTTATTTATTTGTGAAATATTACCGTTTTGGACATATAAGGTAATACGAACTATTTTTAAAAATACCTTAAATTAACTACAAACGAGCATGTAAAACATATTTATAAAAAATAAAAAAATCCATGTGGAACATGCCCCCAGTTCTCACCTTTTTTCCCCCTTACCTGTTTGCATCTCTGTGTCATCCAAACCCATAAGACTTTCATTCATTTTTGAAACACAAATGAACATTTTTTTATGAAATCTCAGAGATTTTCTGTCCCTCCGTTGAAAGTCCATGCAAGCAAAATTTTGATGCTTCAAAAAGTTAATAAAAACATTGTAAAAGTAATCCATTTGAATCGATTGGTTTAATCCAAGTTTTCTTAAAAGACACAATTACTTTATATGATAAACAGATTTAATTTAGGCTTTTATTCACATTAATCAATGTACATGTTAGGTCCATATATATATTTGGGCACTGACACAATTTTCATAATTTTGGCTCTGTATGCCACCAGAATAGAATTCAACTGAAACAATCAAGATAAAATTGAAGTGCAGGCTTTAAGCTGTAATTCAAGGGGTTGAACAAAAATATAAAATGCTTAAGAATTACAATCATTTTTTACACAGCCCCCCATTTTCAGGGGCTCAAATGCAATTGGACAAATAAATATAATCATACATTTTTTTTTATTTTTTTTTTTATATTTTATTGAGAATTCTTTGCAGGCAATGACTGCCTTAAGTCTGGAACTCATGGACATCACCAGAGACTGGGTTTCCTCCTTGTGATGCTTTGCCAGGACTTTTCTGCAGCTGACTTCAGTTGTTGTTTGTTTGTGGGTCTTTCTGCCTTTAGTTTTGTCTTCAGCAAGTGAAATGCATAATCAGTCGGGTTGAGATCAGGAGATTGACTTGGCCATTGCAGAATATTCCACTTTTTTACTTTCAAAAACTCCTGGGTTGCTTTTGCTGTATGTTTTGGGTCATTGTCCATTTGTACTAAGAAGCGCCGTCCAATTAGCTCTGCTGCATTTGACTGAATCTGGACAGAGAGTTTATCCCTGTACACTTCAGAATTCATCTGGCTGCTTCTGTCTTCTGTCACGTCATCTATAAACACCAGTAACCCAGTGCCACTGGAAGCCATGCTCATGGCATCACACTGCTCCACCGTGTTTCACAGATGATGTTGTATGCTTTGGATCATGAGCTGTTCCAAGCCTTCTCCATACGTTTTTCTTCCCATCATTCTGGTACAGGTTGATCTTAATTTCAGCCGTCCAAAGAATGATTTTCCAGAAGTGGTCTGGCTTTCTGAAGTCTAATCTGGCCTTGTTTGCACCTTGTGGTGAACTCTCTGTATTTGCTCTCGTGAAGCCTTCTCTTGATTCTAGACTTTGACAGTGACCCGTCTACCTCCTGGAGAGTGTTCTTCTCTTGGCTGGACGTTGTGAAAGGATTTTTCTTTACCATGCAGAGGATTCTCCGATCATCAACCACTGTTGTCCTCCGTGGACGTCCAGGCCTTTTTATGTTGCTGAGCTTACTAGTGCGTTCTTTTTTCTCAGAATGCACCAAACTGTTGATTTGGCCACTCCGAATGTTCCTGCTATCTCTCTAATAGATTTGTTTTGTTTCTGAAGCCTAACAATTGTCTGTTTCACTTGTAAGGAGAGATCCTTTGACCGCATGATGTAAGTGTGCCATTTGCATTTGGAAGATGTTGTTGTGAACTCACAACAACATCTTCCAAATGCAAATGGCACACTTAGAATCAACTCCAGACCTCTTACCTGCTTAATTGATGTAGAAATAACAAAGGAATAAATAGCCCACGCCTATCCATGAAACAGCTTTTGAGTCAATTGTCCAATTACTTATTGTCCCTTGCACTTTAAGCCTATATTCATTGTATAACTGTAACTTGAATATGTTTTGGTCAACAGCTAAAATAATACAAATTTTGCCTGTGTCTAAAAATATATGGACCTAACTGTATATATAGATCTTATCAAATATGGTAAACGGAAGGTCAGCAGTACTTGTTTGTTGCGTGAGACCCAATGAGGAACGACTTGAGGATGAGTAATTGGTGACAGAATTTTCATTTTTTGGGGTGAACTATTGTTTTAAGACATATTCCTAAATCAACTGCAATGGAGCTGTAGAGATTTATGGGCCAGTTGTCTGTAGGGTTTATGGCCTTCTTGTCCAGGTGAAGATTACTTGGGAAAAAAAATCCCAAAGCCCTATTGTACAGGTCTGATGACAGGTGTTTGACAATGTTGTGATGTTTAATTGACCCTGACTTGAATTTGTGGTGGTCCTATATGCACCTAAGTCTATTTGATGATGCATTATTTACATCCTGTCCTGCCACCTAATATTTATAGTGAGTCCATAACTGTCAGCCGAAGTCAGATTGATCCTGAGGACTGTTTGTAACTCTGGTGCCTTCACTTCAAATGATAAATTAAATGAATGGAACAATTTTCGATTTGCAGAGTTAAAAAGAGCAACTCTTGGAAATGTTTTTTTTGAAAGTGTTGGTGGGACTTCACTCATTTGAGGTTTGCTGACTAAGAGCTCAGTGAGAAGAAGTTGTGGGCTGGATCATATATATATATATACACTTGTGCAGTGCAGAAAGAAGTTGTTTTATTTCCTGTGTTAGACAGAGAACACTGACTAAGATACACTGAAGGCAATAACAATGGGGTCTCTGCAAATCATCTTCTTGTTGTTGGTTGTTCTTTGTCTCAGCAACTTTGTTGCAAGTGCAGGTTAGTGCTTTGTGTTTTTACTGTTCTACATTTTGGTAATTTGTGTGTTACAAAGCATTGCAGCAGTGTTTACGTTAGTTTAGATTTGACCTACTTTCAGTCACTTCACAGCTAGGGTTATATATGTGACGTGTCTTTAGACAGTGATACATTCATTTTTGTTTTTTATATTTGTATTTGTGAGTGCATCCAATATGCCTCATGATGGTTATAAAAACTTTACTTACCCTCATGTCATTCCAAACCTCCTTCTGTGAAACATAAAAGAAGATATTATGAGAAATGTCAGTCCCCCCCCCCATTTTGGACAACAGAAGTGAATAATCACCAAAACTGTTTGGTCACCAACATTCTTCAAAATATCATATTTTATGTTGCACAGAAGAAAGTCAGGTTTGAAACGATGTGAGGGTACGATGAAAAATTTTCATTTTTGGTTGAACTATGTCTTTAAGGCATAAAAACATGTAAACTATCAATGTCAGAAGTAGTGACAGTGTAGCACTTACCTGATATGCAGAAATAAGCAAAATTACTCAAAATGCTAAGAAAATACTTGACCTAATGCAGGAATATTCATCATCTACACTGTCCAGGTGTTGGTTTTGATGTCTGAACTAGGAACATCTGCTTCTTCTATGTTTTCTTTCTAAACCCTTTATATCAAACTTAACATCTTAACTTCTGTTTGTTTGGATGCTGTGATCTGATCCAGGCTGTTTCTTTAATCATTTTTAGATGAGATCAAATATAAAGGTGACAATTTCACTATTAAGTTTCCTGCACCTCAGAAAAAAGCGGTGGGTGTATATCTGCACAGCAGACATGAGATCAACCGAGATGTCTTCTACTACTATTTTCAAACCAAGAAATTATCTGTCCATAAAGACTTTGAAGGACGTGTTGAAGTCAGATATGACAACAAGACCCTGACAATAGACATCATTAACCTACAAATGACAGACACTGGGGCTTACTGGTGCACCTGCAATCTTATGTATGGGAAATGTACAATGGACGAGTCGGGTGTTTTTCTTTTGATGCACGGTGAGTGTACATTTCTGTTTCGTTTATTGACATGTAATTTTCAGTATTTAATTACAGACCATTTAGAATTTACCATATACCTATATTGATAAGTATGATTTAAGACATTCGTTACCATTCAAAAGTTTTGGGTTATTTTTGTATGTATGCATGTATCTATGTTTGTATGTGTTCGTTTGTTTGAAAGAAATTAATGC